CCGTTTAATTATTAATTGTATGTTTTTACTTTTTATTATAAATAATTTTTTTATTTTAAAAATAAAAAAATCACATTTATGTTTTTAAATTATTATACGCTTATTTGATATCCTAAAAAATATTTTTTACTATTATTATTCTTATTATTATTATTATCATTATGATAGTTGTGACGGAAATATTTAAGTAATATTATTCAATAATATTATACTAAACACATGGATATTATCGAATAATATATACGAAGAACTAACTCTACACGGATGACGGATGGCATTCCCGAAGAAAGTCATATCGATTTTTATCACGATATCTATTTTGATTAATTTTCATAAGAGCTATAAAGACATAAGCGCAAAAAATAATAAACTAACCGAAAATTTAACAACACTGTCACGATCACTTATTGCTATATCGATTCGACATCGACGCGTAATGTAAGAATCAAAACATTTAACGCGATGACAAATGAATACAACGACCAAACGTCGTTTATTCGTTTCTCCGGTCATACGTCAACTGGTGAACGGTATTATCGAACTGCTTCGTTTTCGTCACTCCAACGCCGAAGACGTCCGTCCATCGACTATTATTTAAGAGTAATTTATTCGTATTCGCTTGTCGGAGAAAATTAAACGTACCACTGTACGACGGCGATCGATCGATACTCCACGACAAAACGATACAGACACGGATAAGTCATTTTATCATTGAACGTGATTACGATCGCGACGAAAATGGAATTTCTAAAAACTATAACAATAATTATTATTTCATCAACAGCAAATTGGTGCGCATACATGACGTAAACGAAACGGTCGTCGACAGACTACGATTTTCGCATACCGATAAATCCGTATTGGAACTATCATACGAACCGCACGAATTCGACGACGTCTTGTTCACCGACAGACGTACAACAGACGACGATGTACCGATTGTGCCGGCGTATACAATGTACGTGTTTAGACAATCCGAGTACGTGTCACGTGCCGTTGTGTTGACAAGCGATAATGTGAAAATATATCACGATGATGACGATCTTTTTTTTTTTTTTTATTATAAGGAACAAGGCCTCGACTGCATAGGTCATTGGCCGCGATTAATTTTAACAAACTGATTAATACATTATAGGTAAATACTTAAAAATATGTAGTAAATTATAACAAAGGAAAAGAATAAAAATAATTTAGATTTTTGGTTACAAGGTTTTATGTAAATTAGTGTCTCTTATAAAACTAAGTGTTCTGTTGATATTTAGGGGTTCATTGTTGAGACATACGGAGAGACTGCTGGGAATGTTGTGTTTGGTTCTTTCTTCATTAAATTGGCGGCATTCTAGTAGCAGATGTTTGATGGAGATTTCGGATCCGCAGGTGATGCATGGTTCTAGGTCTGTTTTGTCCATGAGGTGTTTGTGGGTATGCCAGGTGTGTCCAATCCTTAAGCGGGTTAAAATTACTTCTTGTTGTCTTGTTAAATTTGTTGGGTTAATCCATCTATCGGTGGTGGGTTTAATTTCTCTTAACTTGTTGTCCCTCAGTAAATGCCATTCCTTACGCCATAAGTTTGTTATGAAATGTTTGGCTTCTCTTTTAAGGTCATCTTTGGAAAGTGAGTACAATACTTCAATGGTTTGGTCACTGGTTGCTTGTTTTGCCATCATGTCTGCTCTTTCATTCCCTTCAATTCCGGTATGGCTAGGAATCCATGTTAGTGTTATAAGTTTGTTAGTGCTGTTGAGAAGATTGGTAATATTATTAGCTATTTCATTATTTTTAATGGGGTTTTGGATACTTAATAGTGTACTCAGAGAGTCAGTTAGTATATTGAAGGTGTTGTTAGGCATTTCCTTGATTATATGGATTGCTTTTTGGATCGCTAAGGCTTCTGCGGTGAATATGCTGTTTAGAGCAGGTAATCTGAATTTGTGTGCTGAACCATTGATTATTATTGCAAATGCAATGCTGTTTTCGGTTTTGGATGCATCCGTAAAAACTAATACATCATCTTTATTTTGTGTTTTTTCTTTAAAAAGATTCCTAAAAATCTGAGGGGCGGTGTTTCCTTTGTTGCTTTCAGCAAAGCTAAGATCGATTTCAAAATTATTTGGTCTCCAAGGGGGTTTTATCGGAAATTCGGATTTTATTATATGTTTTGGGTTTATACTATGGGCATTAAAAAAGTTTTCTATCCGTCTGCCAATTGGTTTGCTTGTGTTGGTCTCTAGATAATATGCGTTGTTGTTTCTTTTGTCAAATATGGAATTATAGGTCGGGTTGTTTGGATGTGAGGCTATTTTGAATGCGTATTGTAGTTCGAGTAATTTGCGTCTTTTTTCTAGGGATATCTCCCCAGTAATGCAAAGAAGACTTTTGATCGGGCTGCTTTTAAATGCACCTGTTATTAGGCGTAGATTGTTGTTTTGAATTGTCTCGAGTTTTTCTAGGCTTGTTGTTTTTGCACTGCCGTATATGATAGCACCGTATTCTATTTTAGCTCTAATCAGTGTTTTGTAAACATTGTGAAGGATTTTGTTTTGAGCACCCCATTTGTTGTTCGCTAGTAGTTTAATTATGTTGGTGGACTTGGAAGTATTTGTTTTTAAGAATGAAAAATGCTTGTTCCAGTTCAGGTTTTTGTCGAAAATCATTCCAAGAATTTTGATGTCGTTGACTATGGGTATAATTACATTGTTGAGTTTAATTTCTGGTTTGGGCGCTTTTTTTGTTTTCTTAGAGAAAACTATGCATTTGGATTTAGTTGGTGAAAATCTGAAACCATTTATTTTGCTCCAATCATTTATTGTATCTACACTAAGCTGGATGTTTTCTAAAATGGATTTATTATTTTTGCCTTTGCAGTGTAAATTTAAATCATCGGCAAATATATTGATTTGTGTGGGCAGTTTTATTATTTTAGTAACTTCATTAATAGCAATTAAGAAAAGTGTAACACTAATGGGGGAACCTTGCACCACTCCATTGACTAGAGTGAATTCATCTGAGAGTGTGTTGTTGACTTTTACAATGAATGATCTATCTGATAGGAAATGTTGAAGATATGCATGGATGTTGCCGTGGATCCCCCAGTGGTATAGAGTTTTGAGTACCTTGTATCGCCATACGGTATCGTAGGCTTTGCATATGTCGAGACATATAAGTACCATACTTTGTTTTGTAGTGAATGTGTCGCGAATTTCAGTTTCGATGTTGGTTAGACAATCGTAGGTACTTATTTGTTTCCGGAAACCGAATTGTTTTTCCCCAAGTAGATTTTTTTTTTCAAGGTACCAACTGAGTCTGTTATTTATTATTCTTTCTAACAATTTACTTAATGCACAGAGGAGCGATATAGGCCGGTAACCTTCGGTGGTATGTTGATTGTTTGACGATTTTGGGATAGGGATTATTGTTGCTTTCTTCCATTGTTTGGGGAATTTGTTGGTAAGATAGAGGTTATTGAATATTTTTAATATTAAGTTTATTCCTTGGGTAGGTAAGTGTCGTATGAAGTCTATAGGGATATTGTCGGGACCACAACTCTTGCTTTTGGATTTATTGAGACTTAACATTATTTCGCTAATAGTAATTTCATCATTTAATGATCTTAGGTCTTCATCTATGAGTGAGATCGCTTGCGGTGTTTTAAATATATTGTAATCCTCATTGTCTTTTTTATGTTCTAGGAAAAGTGGGTCTAGTGATGAATTATTGCTATTTTCTTCGAACTTACGACCAAGTTCATTTGCTATGTCTATAGATGCCGTTAAATTTTGAGTATCAGTTTGTAAAAATTTTATGTTTTTGTATACTGGTATATTTTTCATTGCTTTAATTTTTCCCCAAACTTCAGATGGGGAAGTAGTGGTTGTTAATGTTTTCGTAAAGTGCTGCCAAGCTAGTTTTTTGCTATCAATAATGGTTCGTTTGGCTATAGCTCTGAGTTTTTTAAAATCAATTAAGTCGAATATATTTTTGGTTTTTTTGAATTTGTTATAGGCTTTTTTTTTGTTCCTAATAGATATGTCACAAGCTTCGTTCCACCAAGGGACCGCGGGTTTTTTCCCTTTGTATCGAGTAATTCTTATTGATTTGGAGGCTGAGGTTAATATAATATTTTCGAGAGTTTCAAGTGTTACTTCAGCATCTTCATTTTCTGGTATATATAATTTATCTAATTCGTAGTCGGTTAATTGATTGTACAATTCCCAATTTGGGATTTTAAGATTCCATTTTGGGGGGAGCTCGTAGTGTTCCGCGATATTTCGATATTTAATGTTGATAATGATGGGCCAGTGATCGCTACTATATATTGCTGGTATTACTTTCCATTCGGAATTGCAGCCTATTGACGTAGACGATAGAGATAGGTCGATTGCAGATGTATTGCCTGAAGCTGTGGTAAAGTGTGTGTCATTTCCATCATTTAATAACATAATATTGGGGTTATCTAGAATTGTTTCAATGATACGACCTCTGGTATCGGTGTGTTGAGAGTCCCACAGAATGTTATGGCTATTAAAGTCGCCAAGTAAAAAAAAAGGTGTAGGAAGTTGATTTATTATATCTTGGATATCATTTAGGTTGAAATTAGTGAGGTTAGGTAAATAGATGTTACATATTGTTACATTTTCTTTGGTTTTTAATCTGATTGCAATTACTTCCAGTTGGGATATTATTGGTATTTCTTGTGCTGGGTACGAAGTGTCCGTAAAAATGGCAACTCCCCCACTGGCCCTGCTGCAGTCGTTTCGATTTTTGGTAAAGGCTTGGTAGCCTTTGATGTTAGGCAATGACTTATGTGTGAAGTTGGTTTCTTGTAAGCAAATAATATTGATGTTTTGTGTGTTGATTAAAATTTGGATTTCGTTGAGTCTATTGTAGAAACCATTTACATTCCATTGAAGGATGTTAATATTTGAGTTGTTTGTTGAAAAATTATTAAATGTATTTTTACTATTCATTTTTAATTTTTTGACAATTTTTTGTGGGTTGTTTTAGTTTTGTGTGTTTGGCTTCAGCTGTTTGTCTAGATATTTGTTGAATAGTTCGTTGTGCAGACGAGTAAAACGTATTTTACTACTATTAGATTGAAGTTTAGGTCTGACTTTTTCAATTAAATCTATCATGGCTTTTAATGAAATGTTGTACTGTTCAAATATAAAATCTGGATCTGGATTGATTTGTACCTTTTCGATTATATCTCTGAATTGTGGGTAATTAATTGGCAATTCCTTATTATTGTCAAAAAAACTTTTAATTGGTAATAAATGTGTATCAATGTTTTCTACGAAGTTTTCAGTCGCGGGAGTTAATTTTGTTTTTTTTGTAGGGTTAGTTTTCTGTGTTTTGGTTTTGGTTTGATTTGGTGCGGGGGTCACCTTGTTTGATATTGTTGAGGCCGACAATGTGGGCGATTGTGTTGAGGCTGATCTTGTGACCATATCGAATCTCAGTCGAAATCGTTACACATATTCACGACAGATTGACGACGACGGATCGAATACAATAACACCAGAACGTTTTGAAGATTTTGTTTTTAAGATTTTGTACGACGGTCCGGACTCCGGATTGTATTCGTTACATTATTATTAATATTGAAGCAATTGTTGTTGTTGTTATAAAGTATTTGTTATAATGTGTTTTATAAATACCTTTTTTTTATAACCGCTCATACATGTAATATGACTCGTGAGACACGTTGAATATAATAAATACATAAAAACAAATTATAATATAGAAATTTTTTTTATTCAATAGCATCGATATCATATTATTAAAATAATAATAATATGTTATTATCAACATTCATATTTTATTATAATATACATAATATTAAAAATCAGATATATTATCAAATTACCAACTTATTATAACATAGGAACAAGCATCATAACAATCGTATATAAATAATAATTACGACAGTATATCATTATATAATTAAATTAATATTAGATTAAATTTTATACTAGAGTAACATTCAAATAAATTATTAAAAATTTTCAACACGATATTTATATTTATAGAATATATATCGCAAAAACATAATATAACTAACAAGAATTCAGAATAAATAAAACGTATAAATTACGACTATTTTACTACAAAAGCTTTCGATGAATCTTCATCATTGTAATATCATCAGCGACAAATTGAATACCGGATTATTTTCTTTATCTTCGACGAAAAGCAATCGATATACAGGACGGATCTGTCTGAAAAAATAAAATAAAATAGTATTAAGTACTTGCAATATTTTTTTTATATAGGTAATATATATAAATATATTATGTATTATACCTTATAAGTAAGTCTGCGTAGATGACATTGATCAAGGTAAGAAATTTATTTAAGTCAATAGTGCTCTCGTGTAACGTGCGCTCATGAATTTCCACGGCTAGTCGCAGCCACCAAGGGTTCTCGGATCCGTGTCGGATCGCGTGTTTTGTCGGGTCGTCAAAGCGGCACACGCCGCGAGCAGCTCAACGAGGAGCGATACACCCGCGACGCGGGACCTCGCGCGTTTTCCATCACACAAAGTCTCGCGACATTGTGTGGTGTTGTAAAAACGCGACCGGTCGCTGGAACTATGCCATCTGCGCGCTGGACCCGTCGTACTCGACGATCGACAGACTTCTGCGGAACGTGTCGGACCGTTCGCGGTCAACCGACACCGTCGCAACAACAATATTATTATTATTATTATTATCATTATTACAACGGCGGCTGAGCGCGGTCGGCCGAAATTTTACGAATATGAGCGCATCGTAATTGAGAACACAAGTATTTGAAAAAAAAATATAGAGGAAAAGAGAATGATCCACTAGTAACGAACAACCGTCCGGCACTTGAGCGTGCCGACGAGTGATAGAGCGCAGTCACAGCATTCGTCTTTTATAGTGAACATTGACCTATTTAATATTATTATTGCGCAATCAACAAAAAAAGTTTAACGCATACAGATTATAATAAATTACGCCGACGGACTGACGGGCGACGGCGCGCCGCGGCGGCGGTGGAAATAAATCGCATGGTGCGCGCCGATGTCGGTACGCCGTCGGTCGGTCACCGGTCGGCCCGACCCCGACGCACCGTACACGCGGCCCGACCGACGACGCGCCGACGTTGGCGCGTAGCATGCGATCTTATCGTGCGTCGTTCTCGTCGACGTCCGCCTGTTTTAATTTTATTTTCTCCTACGTTATTATTATTTTTATTCTTATTATTATTATTAATTATTATTATTCTACGTTGAACATTCTTATCGAGCCGCGTACACACTTGTAACATTTTCTGTACGCCGTCGGTCGGTCACCGGTCGGCCCGACGGCGTACCGTACGATCTTCTCGTGCGTCTCGTCTTTTATAATATATAATAATAATAGAAATAATAGAAATAACAAAATAATAATAATAATAATACGATTAATAATACAACAATGTCGTCGTGATTTTTTTTTCCCCATTGTAGATCCGAGTAACCAAAAGCCGTCGACGTCGTCGCAGTCTTCGGATAAACGAAGTCAAAGTACGCATGAGGTACAAGAAAATAATTCCAACGGTAAGCTCTTGTCATGTATAATTATTATTCGTTATTTCAATACTACGGTTCATATACATAATAAATAATATTATTATATTATATTTCGTGTGTTATTAAATTTTTGTAGATGAAATTGTATCACCACTCGTCGTCGGTATGTGTCGATGAAATATTTCAGCGGTTCGACGACACGGTCAAACAGCTAGAAACCGTTAAAAAATCAGTTTTATGTGTATATCACATGACGGCGGACAAACAAAAAAACGACGACAACAACGACGACGACGTCGTCAGCAACAAAACGAGCGCATGGGCGTCTGCGCTGCACGAACATCGCGGAACACCAGAGTTGAACACTATATTTCAACAAAAACACGCGTGCGCTATGTTTCCTAACATATTTCGACGACCGACGCACGCCGATAACGGATTTCTCGTCGCTTTAGATAATTTCGCGTATTATCACATGTTTTTGATGGCGTGGTTTCTGATACACGCCGGATTGTTGAAAGGCAAAAAAACCGATAGACTGATTACGGCCGGCGATATGCTATTGAGTATTGTTTTTCAAACATCAATGTCGGCCAAAAAACAATGAACAGTATCACGTTAGCTGGTGTCGATCGCTCGCAGTAGAACATGTGAAACAACTAAAAACGTCGGTCTTGTCGACGATACAGATCTCGGCAAGAACTATAGTACCTTCAGATACCTTAAACACTATACGTCGACCGATCGGTATCTATGGTTTTGACGATAGCGTAACCGTTCGTTTTTCGATTGGTGTCTGCATCGTTGTACAGATATGTCGGAATAGTCGGCACGCCGTTCTAGCACTAAAAATAATAAAATTTTATATACCGCAATTTTAAATATCATATAAATATATAAATATATTTGATATTATAATAGTAATACTATTTTTTTATGTACTAATTTTTTTTTTGCAGATGTGACAAATTGTATCGAGACGAAAACGATCGTACACTGATTGATGATGATGGCGACGACGCTGATTTGGAATATCGTTTCGATTCTAGCGACGATCAATATGATGAGGACGACGACTACGTCGTCAATGGAATCGACGATGATATCAATAAATTAAAAAAAATAGAGAGAATGCGTGTATGCGGAAAACGACGACGATGACGAAGCTGATTTCAAAGATATCGATTTTGATGAACATGAACGACCTGTAAACGAATACCGTTTGACCGACGAGTTCCGTTTGTTGTTGAGCGTTCAATGCGGAGATATGAACAAGTGGGTTACGAGCGACTATCGGATGACGACGACGACGACGACGACGATGCTATACGGTCGCAGCTGTTGACAACGATGCTGGACGACGTGCTACAACGAAAAAAAAATCAACAAAATGTTGTGTAAAAGTGTGTTCTAAGTATAAATGTATCGAATGTGACAATGATGAAGGAAATTGTAAATTATATCATGGTATGGAATGTTTTGGCACTGTATAGTCGGTGATTCGGCAACACCGAAACTCGTAAAACAATGTTCGTTTATATTTTTTTTTTGTAAATTATCCGATTTAATATTGTTATATGTTTTATTATTATATTATATAGAATTAATCGATAAGACTGCATAGCGACGACGAGCATTACGCGATTTTTTTCATTTGTTTACGAGACTGTATTGATATCTAACTATAGACTGTTATATTATTTTTTATCTTCTTTATAAATTATGTATAATAGATTATTATTTTTTATTATACACAACTGTGTTTGAATTTTGATTTTTGATGATTTATATAATTTATTTTGAATAATATGTAGATTATTCTATACAGAATACGGACTTGTTGTTAAAACAAAGACTTTCATATAGTATAAAATATGTAGGTTATAGTAATAATGTAATATAATATTATAATATAAGATAAGTATAATAATAATGTAAAATCACTATCAGGCTAATAACCTTGCAGTTAATACCTTTAAAAAAAATAATAATAAATAATGTAAAATAATAATGAACTTCAATTTATGTACACTATATTATTATGTTCGATCAAAGAATTAACGAATTTACTTCGACATGATAATAATAACAATATTGATATTTGTGATTGTCACTCTGTATACTCTATAGAGTAGTCTTGTTTTTTTTCCTTTTTATGAACGTTATTATTTATTTGTTTACGAATAATTAAATTTATTTAAATTTTTAATACATCGTATAGATTATAATATTATCTCGATGTATGAATAAAATTACGTAGATTGTGCGAATCGTAATTTCAACAATAATATGCTAATTATTATTATTGGAATGATGTAACATGATATTGACTAAGACCTTGTTGTTTTAAATAAATTGTTTTGTCAAATCATAATTATTTAGGGCCGTTCTTACAATGTCCGGTAAAGTGTCGGTTAACGCTAACCGACTGATAACAGATTTTATTACCGGCAGAATTCTTCCGGTTAAGTGTCGGTTAACTTTAACCGGACGTCGTAAGAACGGCCCTTAATAATAATAACTGTAACGATAATCATGATCACAATATTAATATCGAAAAATAACGGCGTTCGAAAATAAAATAATATATTTCAAGTGAAAGGCGATTGACTGCGCTCCCTGACAAAGCGAACGATCACGGACGGTAAAAATAAAAAAATATATAATAACAATCGCCTACGTGTACGCGCGCATACCTATCGTATTATATTATATTATAATATGATATTTCATCGGTACGCGTGCGTGTGATATTGGGTATGCCGAGTGGATCGCGCGATCGGCGCTCACGGATGTGTCGGGCCCGCCCGCCGTCGGCGCACCGTGCGCACCGTTCGTTTCGTCGCGTCGCGTTTCGATATACGTACGATGTCATGTTCACAAAAATAGAAAAAAAAATCATGTACGTCGATACGATTTCGTATTTATTATTATTATTATATTATATTATTATCATTATCATTTTCATCATTATTACTACTACTGAGTAGTGAGTACTGACTATCGCGTCGGGACGGATATTTTTTCAATCGGCGCGCACGGATCCGATCGGGCGTCGGCGCGGCGGCCACGTGGTCCGCGTCTCCTCTTTTTCTTTTTTTCTTTTCCCCTTTCGTCTCGTCCCGTTTCGATATTATGTGTACGACGACGATTGCATACGTTCACAAATAGAAAAAAAATCACGGACGTCGACACGATATCGTATTTTTCGTTATTATTATTATTATTACCATCATCATCATTATTACTATACTGACTATCGCTTCGCGACGGATAGTTTTTTCAAATCGGCGCGCACGGATGTGTCGGGCCCGCGCCACCGTCGGCGCACCGTGCGCGTACCGTCGACGCAGACCCGCGCTTCTATAAAAGCCAGTACGCAAAGAGCGGTGTAGCGCATTAATTTACACATGTTCACGACGAATAATCGTTCGTTCGTCAAATTTCGTTTAATAATTCCTCAAAATCAATTCTGTTCTGTCAATTTCGTTAGTTTTTTTTACGCTTTCGAAACACACACACACATCGGTAAGTCTTTCACGACGAGTTCATATTCGTAAAATTTCGGCCGAACGCGCTCAGCCGCCGTTGTAATAATGATAATAATAATAATAATAATATTGTTGTTGCGACGGTGTCGGTTGACCGCGAACGGACCGAACACGTTCCGCAGAAGTCTGTCGATCGTCGAGTACGACGGGTCTAGCGCGCAGACGGCATAGTTCCAGCGACCGGTCGGGTTTTTACAATACCGCGCAATGTCGCGAGACTTTGTGTGATGGAAAACGCGCGAGGTCCCGCGTCGCGGGTGTATCGCTCCTCGTCGAGCTGCTCGCGGCGTGTGCCGCTTTGACGACCCGACAAAACACGCGATCCGACACGGATCCGAGAACTCTCGGTGGCTGCGACAAGTCGTGGAAATACATGGACTCGCGTTATACGAAAGACAACGATGTGTTGCATCGATAGCGTACAAAAAATTTGACGTTATAATATGATGATAATAATAATAATATACCGTCGTCGTCGTATTTAAAATCAATACGAAACGCATACGTTTACATACAATATTATAATAGTCGTCATTCAAACGTCGATGGGTTACAAATTTTTTTTTCACTAGTCGGGAACGGAACTAAAACTTAAATAATTATGATAAGACCGTCCAATTATTTTCAAACAGAAATAATCGAATAAAATTATTGTAGTAAAACGACGTGTATCATCATGATTAACATGATAATAATAATAATATAGTATTTTATTTTTTATTTTCTAATACATAGATCCTATGATTTAAATAAAAAACAAAACAGAACAAATAATAATTACTAGGTATTTTAGATAATTTTGGTCTATGAAAATATCCGCCGAAAAATGTCAATGCTTTTCGTTTTTCATATCTATCCATTACGGTTGGATCCATTGCAAATATCCCAACGTCTCGAGATTCGTCGTATTCGTATTTCCCGTTATTGAAACGTAAGCGAAAATAGAACAAATGCGATTGTACACAATACGGCTAATTATTAACCGCTAATATTAAATCTTTAGTGAAATACATAACACCGACCAAAGAACACAATATATTCGTTACGTTTATGGTTTTCGAAGTGATCAACGGTCTCCTGAAAATAATCGTAGATGGCGGCAGACTGTTGCTGTACATCTTTTTTTTTGAAAATATTTATCACTTACAATTTATTTTTTTAGTTTTTCAACGAAAACTCGACAACGCATTATATTTTATGGAGAAAATACTACCAGAAAATATACTACTATAGTATATCGATAATATAATTATTAAAAATTAAAATAATTTCACGTTTATTATATGGACGATATATACTCTCATTTCCATAGCCAATATTTCCCCATAAATACATTTGTCCGGATTCTTGATTTCCACCTATACATTAAATCACATACTTATACCGTAGTCAGACAGGCGAATAGCTAATATTTATATTAAATATTTTTTTTATTTGTAAATATATTATGGACCTTTTTATATTGCACCTTTTTTTATCTTGTACTATATTTGTAAATGTATCTTTAGCGGTAATTCTTAAGCCGTCACGATTTTATATTGGTGGCTTAAATAAACAACAATAATAAATATATAATAATAATGTATAATATATAATATAATATAATAATATATAATAATAATATTATATATTGGATGCATAACTGCTGTATTCAAATAAAAAAAATATCATTAAAAACAAATAATAAATCGTTTTGAGTGTTCATTTAGGTTTAGATAGACTTAAATATGGAAAACATTTGTCAATATCGATAATTTTTTCATAAATTTCCAGAGTCTTAGAATATTTTTTTTCTCGTTCAAACGAAAAACGTTTTTACATGATTCGGCCACGACAATGACGACGATAATGTAATTGAATTTTCACGTAATCGTCGTTTCGTTCCACAGCTTTTGAACGATATTGCTTTTGTTATATTGTCAGATCTTAACAATAATCGTCGTCTTCGTAATGATACCGACGACGACCCTTTACCGTCAAACACGTTTGTATATCGATTCGTGTTCGCCACCGCTGATGACGAATTAACGCGATCGACGTGTTGTGAACTTGTTGATGATCGATGGCCAGGCGACGACGATGTGCACTCGACTATTTTATTATTCTTTTCATTTTCATTTCTTAATTTATCGTCATTCGACAGTCGTTCAGATGGATCGACGACGACGACGAAGTCGTCGTTACTGTGCGGCAACACTGGCGATAACCGCGACGGTATGTCAATTTGAGACATCGCTTCTTTTCGTTTGTCGTCGTAGTCGTCATCGTAGTCGTTTACGTCATGTCTTTTCAACATCATTCGTTCGAGATCGTTTAACGACAAACCGAATGCACTGACGGCGATATTTTTCAACGCTATGAAATGAAGATTCGGTATTTCGGTTTTCTACTCTTCGAGTCTATAGACGCTTCTATGCATGCCATTTCATCGTTTTCCACACGAACCTGTATGTTATCGGGTTCAAGTACGTCCGACACACCGGATATGGTTTTACGATCACGTCGATTGCGAATTCCGTCACTAGTTTTGCTAATAATATCGGTATGTGTCGTAACCGCAAAGCTTGATGCATGTTGATCGATTCTTGGAGATCCGTCAACGACGTATTTTTCAAATTTATATGTCGCAAGACTTTAGAGTTTGAACAAATTTCGTAAAACGCCGCTCTAGTGAACGTTTCTTCAATTTGGGACGTCATTGCAGAGTGTGCCCGTGTGTACGTATACGTATGTGTGTCACGCACGATATGTCGATGAAATAATAGCTTTATATTTATTTTTACATATGATATCTGTTATAGTAGAAAAATAAGACACAACGAGGTTTTCGATCTCGTGACGATGAATTATACGAAAAAAAAAAAAAAATTATGATAATAATAAATAAAATAGTACAATATTGTATATTTATCACAATACTGTAATATTCAACGTTCGATTTTGTGGAATGTACCACACACGTCGTATGATTTTTTTTAATATTTGACGTTTATACTTATTATTCATTCAATTCGTGATATTCCACTACTATGCATTCGATACTTCCGATATGTTTGTTTGAGATGTTTTTGTGTGTCGCCTATGTGTTTCTATATTATCGCTTCGATCGAAATATCGACACGAAAACCGAATGGACGGCAAAAAATCTTTACGACAACGATGAAATCGCTGATCTCATCAACGCTTCGGGTATAAACAATATACCCGCGTTGGACATACAGTCAACGAATAATTAATTGCTGGCGACGGCTCACGATATTGTCATCGAGGACCCGTGTCGGTCGTCGACGACTGTTCGGATATCGATTCCGCGCGTATTTGAGCGAATATCAGCGCTCACGCGTTTCGCGTGTCGGAAAACGACGTGGTGTTCAACGAAAATCGCAAACTCAATATAAACTCGATATAAACTCGTATTGTAAACTGGGTGAAAAAAAACATTGCAACACCAGGACCACCTCGATCATGATGACGGTCAATTCGGTGATTTGTCGCGCGAAGTTTCCAAAGTTGTTCGGCGGTCCGACCGGAAATCTCGTCGTCGCTTGTAACGATACTCGCATCAATAATCCGTTAAATGTTTTATGGGACTATCGATACGATAAAGTCGTCGACCCGTTTACCGTGACGTTAAACGACAGCGATGAACTCTTGGCCGACGGGAATTTCCGATTCCGGTGCAACTTCGGTGGCAGAGACAATATGCACAACAAATATATCGAACATCCGTATACAGTCGATTCAGACCGTTGAACAATTATTGTGCGCGTTTGGTCTTTGGAGCCCATGATCACGTGAAAACGATTTTTTCGAAAGACGACAACGGTTTCAGCTGCGACTGCGGCGAACACCGTGCGACGCGTGTAAAAAATCTTATAGAAAACGGCAAGACGAGCCAATGTTCGGATAAAGTGTTCAAATTAAACAAATTGGACAGACATAGAATCGAATTGACTATACCTTATAAATGTTTTACGGACGTCGGCAAGTACATGCCGTGCCCACCGGCGCAATTCACGTCATTCGGTAGCCAGCAAATGCATAGCGTGACAATGGTGTATCCGCTAATGAGAATATCCCCATCAAACATCCCAAATACGCTGATTTTATCAATATCGACGACGACATGTTAGAATTTTTAGAAGACGTTCGGATATCTACTTGATAACGACATCATGATTATAATAAGAAATTACGATAATGAAATATTTTCTACAATAATATAATATTTACTCGTTTTTGTAAAAATCAATGTAGCGACATTAAAAAGTTCGAGCGTTTCGTCGTTCTCTTTTAATATAATATATAAAATATAATATATAATATATGATTATAATAATAATAATAATAATAATAATAATAATAATAATAATAATAATAATAATAATAATAATAATAATAATAATAATAATAATAATAATAATAATAATAATAATAATAATAATAATAATAATAATAATAATAATAATAATAATAATAATAATAATAATAATAATAATAATAATAATAATAATAATAATAATAATAATAATAATAATATTAATAAAACGTATATAGTAAACGTCACGATTATATTGAAATCATTGTTATCGTTTTGAATCATCACACGACGACGACCGTCGGTCACAACGATGGCGTTTCGCGGACCGTTTATCACTGAACTCTGCGATTGTGAATCTTTACGAGACGACGACAAAATCGACGTTCGATCGAAACGATTGCGATGCTTTAAGAAATCAGTTAAAGCGTTTTACAAAAACCGTTCGTGCTCTACAAAAACTCTTTTCAACACCATATTCAACGGAATATATAGAGTGCAAGACGTTCAACTGCGTTTATTGATAATCGAATCGATTCATGACGACGACGACGACGACGACGATCCAACGAAAAAATCCATATCGTCTTTCACATCGTGTCTGGCCGAAGCGTGTATCGTGGAAAATTTTTTGAAATCATACGCCACAACTCATCCTTTATATCACGCCGAGTGTATGAGTGAGAACGTCAAACAGTATTTACGTGGTCGTAATTATTTTTTCTCTTTGTGAAAACACAAAATGTATAATTTCATTATACAGAGTGAACCAGTGAAAAGTGCGATTTTTTGTATCTAAATCCGTTTTAGTCATCCGATTTTCACCGCACCGATCTGTACATACGATATAATAATAATATATATAAAACAGACGACGAGGCGCACGAGAAAATCTATCGATCACGATTCCCGGGGAGAACGATGATGTGATTTACGAATATCATATCGGTTCGTCAATGATGTAAACCAACACGTTTTTGTGTACTACCGTAGAATGATATAAATATGTAATTTTTTTGAAAAAAAAAAAAAAAATATTATATAAATTGTCTGTTTTATAATTATTATTTATTTATTGAACAATAAAGACGTCTAGAATTTCGAACAGTTTTACTAAAAAAAATAAAATCGAGCATCCCATTGAAACGAATGATTTTTTTTTTAAAATTTTTTGTTCAGTAATTCTTGTCGGTCATAGTAGAAATATAATTGAAAAAAGTGGGAGTCGTTTTAAGTGGTAAAAAATGGTGAGGAGAGTTCGCCGAGGGTGATTCCATGGGCTCGCGCGTGGCAGACTCTGTCCAGAATTCAACTGTCGAGGACATAGTCCTCTCCTTGCTAGCGAAACCGTTTGATAGAATCTGTGCCAAAAAATATTATTTCCACTAAATTTATTAGAAAAGCTTTGCCGACCCCTTCAAAACATCGAGCAGTTGTCGGTCGACGTAAGATCGTCGTCAGCTCGTTAACGAAACCGGGAGAATCGCTGGCGGCCGCGTTACCGTCGTTCATAAACGTTATAATCGTTCGTTTACGATTATTAGACGAAACCGACATGATACAAAGATTCAAATTATGCGTAGGTTATTTTAGAAAAAAGAATTACTCTTGTAACACCATTACGAGATATGTCAAATTATTGAAAGCGCACTGCATTTTTGGCGAAGACCACATGGCCGTAGATGCACTGGCGAGTGGCGATTGATAAAAGCTTGTATAAAAATTTCGTGCATTCCCTAATCGTCGACGTCGAAACGTTTAAAATTTATGTACGGTATCTCATGCAGAACGTAACGCGTTTCAATGCGGCTATTCTACTCGCGATTTTTACAGGACTACGGACATTTGAAGTGTTACAGATTTCCAACGAACATCTAGTACAATTATTGGAACGCGAAAAAACGGTGAACGTTCGACGTAAAAGCGCACGGATTTTGGGAGAAAAATTATGGTCACCGGCGTATTCTAAACAATTGTAAAATGTATTAGAACTTTTAAAAATTTTATACGTTGACGAGATCAACGTATTCAAAACAAAAACCATACACGTACGATTGTTCAACATAAGTCCTAGTACTTTATTGGAACGAGCTAGATTACCATTCTTTTTGGCAACTGGACGATCGATGCCGTACGGTTTTAGGATTCATGGTAATCGGACGGTCGTAGCGACCAACAACCATTTTAGAGTCCAAGTCATTTTTCCACAACACTGTAAAAATCTTGTTTTTATTTGTGATTTACTATTGGATTTGCTTTCTATTATCTCGTGATCAAATTCGTCTTTCAGTTTTTCGAATACTATATTTACGTACTCAATAGGCGCTATTAAATTTAATCCACAATTATTTGTTTGCTTTGTACAATCAGCGTTCGGCAACGGAGTGACGTTTGTAGAGAAATTCGTAATTTCTAAAACTTCCGTTTCTTGGACGCCTACGTCGTTATAATTTTTCTCGCATAATTCGGGATTGTCGATTTTTCGACCATTTATTATAATATGTAACATGAGGAATCCCGTAGCCAACCCCTTTCAGCATATCGACGTGACACGAGACTATTTTATTATGATCGTCGTCGTCGTCGTCATTTGAATTGGCCATCATACTACACAATCGACAAATCTGACTGTTTTTTTCGTTAGAATAAAACGTAAATTGTATAATCTATAATATTTTAAGCAAAATTTTTGATAATAATATCATGTGTTGCAGTATAATATTTGAGACATTCAGTTTAATTGAAATAATTTTATAAAATCTAATGTAATGTAAAAGATAATTTTAGAAACAGCACAAGCCCGTCAGTATCTGAGGCAAATCCAAAAATTTCGCAACTATGATATACATAGAACAAATGTCTATTGAATCGTCAACCAACGATCTACACCACTCAAAAGTACGCAATCGGTTATTGATAGATTTTTGTTCATTATTATTATTTATCAATTTTTTTTTTTTTTATTATATTTTCCAAACGGTGGGAGTTCAAAGAATGTCATCCCATCGGTCGGCATCGAGTTCTCTAACAATATTCGAAAATTTTACTACCCAGACCGCCGTCGTCGTCGCAGCGCTAGTGGCGCAGCGGCTGTCTATAAGTACGGATGCGCTGCAGCGCTACGGCGTCATTTACCAATTAGTCATTGTGCTGTTGTGTTCCGTGATTTTTATTTTTTCCTTTAATTTTACATTTGTTTTTATTTAATGGCGATTCCAATGTAACCGGGCACACCAGTGTACACACCGTTTTCTTGCGTGAGTATATTATTACGTGCCGATTGAAGTACTCCAACGAGTACGTCGTTCGCAGGTAGCGGATATCTCATTATATTGTCGACATTTTTATTTTCATATTTGTTTCCGATGTCGTAGTAAGACCCACCCGGGCAGACTTACGCGGCTAGGAGAGAAATTGTCCATCCTATGGCGAACTCGGCGAACGGTGTGTGAGGCGACCAATGGTGTAATAGTTGGAGTATTCCTGCATTGCATCGGTCGTCTCACTCAACGCATTCCACGGGGCAATAGTTGGAGTAATTCCGGCATTGTACCGTTTGTCAAACGGTTTGTTGAGTTTTCCAATAATTAAAAAAAAAAAAAAACTTTAATAACAACCGACAGTGAATAGTAAGGTATCGGTGATCACATGGATGAAATCTGTACGACGCGCGACGATATAGGTTGGCTTGTTTCGGTCGGAAGTCTTCACTCAGCGTGATTGCAATTTTGTTACTGCTTTTATTAGTTGGTTAAGTTTTCTTTAGACACTTAGATAAGATACCTAGGTACCCCCCCCCCCCCCGGTGTCAAATTGTTTTTTTTTAAAATTATATTTTCCAAACGGTCGGGGTTCAGGGAATTTCATCCCATCCGTCAGCGGCGGTGTTTTCGATCCACCGTCGTCGCAGCGCCAGTGTCGCAGCCTCTGTTTATATGTACGGATTTGCGGTCTCTGGCACTTTGTTTCCCCGTTATTTATCTTGTTTCCACAAGTTAGCGTATATTTTTAAATGGCATTATAGATCATGAACAGTGGCAACGTTACCGATGCACTTAATTCCATCACCGAAGGTTGTATCTCCATTGGTCAGGCCGCAAGAGTGCATGGAATCCCGGAGACCACACTTAGGGAGCTGGTCCGTAAACTTAAAATCGTTCCCAAAAAAGTAATTTACTGTCTCTTTTGCAATACACGGGTTTATACTTGTGTTTCTATAAATTTATAGTCATCTAGAGGCTATATCAAAGCTGAAAATAACGCCAATCTATCCAGGGCGATAGAACTTGTACAAAAATATAGTTACACTATGAACTTGGCTTCACGAGAGTGTGACGTTCCGAAAACCACCCTCGTGAAGGCGATCAAAAATTTTGAAAAAATCAAAGGTGAATAGTAAATTTTTTTTCTTCCGTATAAATTATTGAATTGTATCTTTCCGCAGGAATGGCACCACCTTTAGGTATGGATGAGGCCGACGAGAGATTTGTCAAAAAAAGTAACATCATACAATTATTTTATAATGAATAATAGTTTTAGTCATAAATTGTAATCGCTTATTGATATTGATTTTTTAGTTGTGTTCAAAGGCAGGAAATGCAAACCAATTGTTGTGAAGCGCTTGGTGGAGATCCACCACCGCTCGGCTTACTATAAAAAGCCACCCGTTAAGGGTATAATGATTTTTCAATTTAATTTTTGGCCTTTCCTGTGTAATAATGTATAATGTGTAATGCAATATTTTACAGCCGAACAATTTTCTGGCGATGCCCCAGCCTTGAATATTCATACGCGGTTTTCCAGTGAGTCGCCCGTTAACGTTGAAAACCGTAAGTGTTGTCTTCATTGATTTTTTTATACATTTTATAATAACGTATTAACTTACAGCTATCAAAAAAAGGGCACTCAACGTGGACACGGTTTACACGCCATCGCCACCCAACATTCATGACCCCACGTCTCAAGTACCGTCATGGGTCGACGATGAAAAATTGTCACCGGTAGCAGGTCCGTCATGGGCTGACCAATGCCTTCCGGATAAATGTGAATTACAATTTAAGTATCTTCCGGGTTCCAAAGACGGTATGTTATACTTTGTAGTTTTTGTTTTACATCGTTTCCTACGTTCGTGCGTTTCGTTTCAGCCATGATTTTCGGAAGTGATAGTGACGCAAGACGGTCATTGTCCATGTCGCCCACTCCGTCCATCCCATTGAAGATTTCGTCTCTGAAGATTTTCAACGAGGATTCGGACAGTGACGGAGAACCGGCAAGACGTCCAGTCCGGCTGACTTGTGCCGAACGCCAAGCGCTCGGACAAGATATTCCTGTAAGTCGATTAATAAGATGAATATGAACTATCACATCACTAATATTAATATTTTATTTCAAAAATTAGATTGTCAAATATTGTCCGCTTTGCACGTACACCACGTCAGGCAGCAAGCTGAATCGTCACTTGTTGAACAAACACCAGCCGATGTTAAAAAAACCGTTCAAAGAAAACGTTAGTGCCATAAACAAAAAAATAGTCACAGAATCAAGACGGTCGTACACGCTTGTGCCGATGTCGGCCGTCAAGGCGAAAATGGGGCCGTATTGGGACGACCGATGTTTTAGAAGCGTGGCACATGAGTAAATACCGATTGATTTATTCACATATTCAAATTCTATGTTTTAATCGGCGTTTTCTTTTTAGACTCACAACTATGGGAAGGTTGAAGGTATACGGAGGTTCTTGGAACCTACCAGGTATCAACGACTATCCAAACCCGTTTTCTGATAACATTAAAAAAAAAAAAACGGAAACGATGTCGTCGTCGTCAAGTCTATGATAAAAATTTAAAACAAAATATACCGGTGATCGATCTAGACGAAGCTAATTTATTGTGGGGTCCAGCGATCATCGACAAAAGACAAATCATATTATTATATACTTTTTTTCCGTATAGTTTTGTTCTTGTGAATAGCGATACATTTCAAATTATAAATCTACAACGTCAATAACGCGTGTGTTGTTTTACGCAATTATAAGTTATTTACAATTGAACAAACATTACGTGTAAAATTATAAAATAAATTCATTGTTACAATGATACAAAATATCTATGTCCTTATGAACGTAACCACGACATTATTGAGTTTTTTGTGTGTGATATATACGATTATCGGTCTGTGCTATCCAAAAGGGTCAATGGTACAGACACCGACAACAAAACTATCCAATCGCGTATTATATCGTGAATTATAAAATTGATAATCGACGAAAAAAAATATATTATATATTATATAATACTGTACGATGCGTGTATGGCAGCGTCCAGAAATTTATTATTTCGCACAATAATAACACTGAATTCAGAATAAACGTATAGATTATTTTGATTTGATGTATATCGGTTTGCAGTCAATACATTTGCAAAATCGCAACACGACATATTATTATTGTACGTATGTCTAGGCCGCTCCGATATTCGTGTACGGTTAATTACTAGCCGTACATAGCCGTAAATCTAGACGACAATTTTGTACATGATTTGATAGGTATAAAACAATAACACATCCACTAAATCCTCGTATGGCGATAACAGGATGATTGTTAATATTTTTACTGGAGACGATATTTTGAACGAGTTCATTTTCTTCTCGTATCAAATCCAAGTCCGGCACTACGCACTCGGTTACGTAATCGGAATGCGTTTGCTTTATGAATTTATCGATTTTGGATAAATCGGATTCGGTTTCTTTCGTAATGCAATGATCACCGATGTGTATGATAACTGAATCACCGTCGTCGTCGTCGTCGTCGACGATCGTATTCGTCAAACGGTCTTTCTTGTCCACATTCATTACGAATATTCTAATATTGTGATGCACTAATATTATATAAATATATTATGTAAATGATTCTTAAAATGATTTGTTATTATTCTATTATAGTCGTATAAAATATATTATATAATATCGCAACGATAACATTTAATATTAATAATATAATAATAATAATAATAATTTTAATCATGTATCAATTCTATGATCTTTTACCAATGGCTTTAGAAACAAAAAATTTACATTTGACTTTTATAACAAAACTGAGCGAGGGCACGAAATCGGAGTACGCTATCCCATATAATAATCTAAAGAATTCGTGGATATCGTCTGTAACTACAAAAGCTGAATTAAAATTCATGGATAGAATAGATAATTATTTCCCAAATACTACGAATAAACAAAATTGTATAATCGATTTTCATCCAGTATGGCATGTGTTTCCGTTGCATACCGTATACGATAGTTTATCATGTACAGCAGATAAAAATGTTTCAATTAAAAAAGGGTTAAAAATAGTTTGAAAAACCGTGATGATGAAGAAGTCAAAAACAAAGATATTCCAATTATAACGACCTCATAATATGATAGCTGATATAATAATATAATAGTTTTATACCGGATTTTTTTTTTTCTAAATGAAATAATATTGAAACGTACGATGCTATGCATTATATCTTTACTGTCGATGCGAATATTTTAGAATTAGGATAACATACAGGCAACAAATTACATTCAATCGACTTGTGCTCGATTCTAGATATTTCGGAAAACGAAAAAACATATTCCGATACTGATAATATCTGTCAAAATTATGGAAAAGAAATCGCAACATCGACGGCAAGAAAATCGCAGCAGCAGCAAACCGACTAACCGACCTAACCGACTCGAGTGTATACTGTATCGGCAACGAAAACGATTTGTTACATACGTTTGTGAAATACCAACATCAACCGTTTTATGAAGCTCTGAATTCACGACCGTTCGTCATGTTACAAAATACGCCTCTGCATGTCGGTTTGAATACTGTGATGTTTTGTCGAAAAAATGATATCTTTTGTCGATGTATAAATACGGTATTTACGTATTTCCGACAACGAGCTTTTCCTCTGCAAACTAATACGTCTTTACACATTCCTCTGCAAATGAATACGTTTTTGCGTTTCAAAAACTATCGCTTTTGTAATGCTCATAAGAAACGAAGGGCGTATTGCGCAAAAATCATTAACTCTTCGTATAGACTACGATTGTCCTATGTGTTATCAAGAAAAACGAAACGAAAATATCAATATTATCATATATAATTATTACCATAATTGATGTCAATTATTATTATCATGATCATAATTATATTTTATTAGATATCGTGTATATCCATTGTAATCCTATGGTTCTTGTTTAGCTTTGTGTTATAAGAATATAAATACAATATAGAAATAAAAACAAAATAATTTCAACTAATTGCATGTGTTTTATTTTTATTTACACACACACACACACACACACACACACACTCACACACACACACACACACACACTCACACACTATACAATTAATATAGTAATTATAACATATTGATTATGTTATATTTTTTCGTTCAAAAATATCATCATTAAATTTATCTAAAAAAAAAAACGACTAAAATGATTGGCTGCGAATCACAACTATATAACAGCCGGTGCGAGTCATTTGGTAGAAGGCCATTTGGTCGAAGGTTTAGTGATCGAAAAAAAGCGATCGAAATGTCATGTGATCGAATCTTTTTTTGGTCGAAAAACAGATGATCGAATATTTTATTAATATAGTCGAAATATTTTGTGGTCGAATGGGTTTTTTGGTCGAAGTAAAGATAATGATTATCTTTTCGATTACTTTATCTAGTATTTTTATAGATGTACCTAGCCCATATGAAGGTATATCGTATAGTAGGTACTTAGTGTTTAACGACTGTTCAACGTGTACGGTGTACCTACCAATAGTGTTAAGTTTATCATCTGTTCAATATACTTTGGTATTTTATACATATTTTTGCAACAACAGTTAATTTTTTTTTATTATATATAAATATGAATATTGATATTGTACCTAGCATCCATGGAGGAATATTATTAAATATAAATAATTTCATATATAAAAAAAACAAAGATTTATTACGCTGATCCGGGTTTATAAGATTTATTAGAGTATTTAAGAGGAATAGCTCAAAATTTAAACTTTTAATTACTCATCATATTATATTATTTACTAATACTTATAAGTTATACTAGTATCTATACCTATCAATTATTTTAATATTTTACTACAACATTTTTTTACATTATAATACCTACTTTAGTTAATTTTTAATTTACTTGTATGTAATATATATTTGTCGATCATAACATATTAAAATTTTTAAATTTTAAATTTTAATTACTTACTATATTATATTATTTATACCAATACTTATAAGTTATACTAGTATCTAGAACTACCAATTATTTCAATATTTTATAACTACTTTTTTCTACGTTATAATACCTACATAAATTAATTTTATATTATAATTTATGTTTTTTTTTTTTTTGAATAATTAACACAAAATATATATTTTTCGACCATGACATATTTCGATTACATAACATTTCGATCATTTGCATTTTCGATATTATATTTTTCGATCAAAAAAGTGTTCGACCAGATACCTTTTCGATCAATTTTTTTCGATCACTAGACTTTCGGTCACTAGATTTTCGGCCAGACAACCCCCACCCATAACAGCAGACTCGATAGTCATAATCTTGGTCAAAGTTTCAACGGTCGTTGTTTTTCGTAAATCTCATATCCTCATCTAATATAATATTAATATATTATCATATTATATAGTAAATATAATAATTTCAAGTGTTTATATTAAAATAAAAAAAACTCGTGTTTTTATATTATAAATATGGATATATCCGTAACGTACAAGGCAAGAGAAAAATTACCTAAAAATGACGACAATTTCAAAATTTCAAAAGATTCGATGATAAATTTCGAGCGGATAAAAGGCATATTGGAAATCGAACAAAAGAAGAATAATGAACCAGTTCGTCAATACTATAAATTAAAAGAACGGTCCCCGTCTGAAAAATATAATATACAAAAATTAGAAAAAGAGATTAGAGAGAGCCGTGTTGAAGTGGAAAATATCAAGTCGGAACAAGCTCGCTGACGTCCGCTTTAACACTTGCAAATGAAAAAATCGAACGACCGATGGCGAAAAAAAATCAAAAATGTAAATAATGTAGATTTATTGGAAAACAAGATAGAACCGTTATCAGAAAATATCAAATTGCATTCCACGTATATTAATTTTTATAAATTGCAAGTTAATATCATGAAAAAACGTCCAGGCGAAACGAACAATGGTTTTATTAATCCGATGACTGTCAAGTTTGTTTTTGTGTACGTCCGATAAACAGTAAACTCGGATGTGGACATATCGTGTGTCCGGTATGCATTGAAACTATATTGGCAATGTCAAAAAAATATCATAAATGCCCATCTTGTCGAGCACCGATTTTGACTTATAATACTTTCAATGTGGAAACTTTGGGATTCACTACGCAAAACGAGCCACTACCGAATGCGGGACCGGCCGTGGACCTCGAAATACAAGTTGAACAATATCATAACCAAATGTTGAACTCTGATGAAGTTGAAATAAATTCAAACAACGAAGACGTCCGAATGGCTAACGATGAAAAATTCAGATATTATGGTAAATCCTACGAGATTTTTATATTATAAAATATTTTTTCATACATAAGAGAAATGTATATTATACAATATATAAAAAACCTAACTGCTCGTGTTGTTCTCATTGTTTAGATTCAACCTCGTGGAAATCCTTGGATTAATGCGCATGTGAATGGTATCGCCATTACTAGCAATAGTAACGCTACAAGTATTTTTCATAGTAATGCCAGTCTGAGCTACTCAAACGGTACTGGTACTTACTACTTCGACATCAACTGAGGTATAATAATATTTAGCACTTCTCAATGATATTGAATATAATATGTTATTTTATTTTGTTTTTAACAGGGGAGTAATCATGAACCGGAGACGACTTCCGGAATCGGTCAAAGGATTGAAAATTTAAGAATACATCAAATCAATACTGAATCGTTAATGGTAATTGTAAAGTTTTTTTTTACATGTTTTTAGTTTATTCTTAATAATTTTATTTTCATAGTCCGAACGCAGTCATCAAAAACAATAAATTCGTTTCGATTTAGTGAATTACAACAAACATAATATACCTAGATTACAAAGACTGGCTTTCATTAATGAATCTTATCGTGCCGATAATTCAACAATATTAAACAAAACATGAACGTATGAAATAAATAATGTTGTTCGGTCGTACCATGTATATTATATTATATGAATTTATTATGGACATGGAAAATAAACATAATATTCTTATATAAAATATTTTATACAATATACATTTTGCAATAATTTTGCGATTTAATAACAATTATACGACGATATATTATATATAAAAATAAATATTTTATTCTAGTATAGATGTTTTTTTTTATATATTTTGTTAAAAACCGTATTGACAAAACAGTAAAACACTGCCCGTCGGCGTAACGTGCGATCTTAAAAAAAAAAAACAACGGTGATTATCCGTATTGTCTACGAAATATTATTCTATTATATCGGCGGCAACGTGCGATTAATTTCCACTGCCGTCGTCGCCGCGCCGTCAGTCACGGACGCTGTCGCAGTGCGGGGAAAAAAAAATTATAATAACGACAATCCGTACATTCTGGGAGACAAAAAAATTAAATAAAAAAATCAAATAAAACACGTGGACGTCGACGAGAACGACGCGCGAGAAGATCGCACCGTGCGATTTATTTCCACCGCCATCAGTCACATTTTACTTAGAATATATTTTTTTTTAACTCCTTTATTATTATTATTATTATTATTCACGTTATAAAACACGTGGACGTCGACGATAACGAAGCGCGAGAAGATCGTAATAGGTACGCGCCGACGCGCGACGTGGCGCGCAGTCGGTCGGGCCTCGCGGACGGTGCGTCGGGCCGACCGTTGACCGACCGACCGCGGCGCGCACCTTGCGATTTATATCCACCGCCCTCAGTCTCATTTGACTTAGAATATTTTTTTTTCCCCGCTTCCCTTGTCTAGTGATATCGTATCTCGGTTCTCACGGATGTGGTACTTGTGGCTATCGACCTAGCCCACGCACTTGCGAAATTCCTAATCAATTCTGCGTATTACTATAATGTAGGTACTGACAGATAATTTGTGAACTGTCAATTTCATTATAATAAATCATACTATTTTAGATTCTGAGCGGAGCGATGAATGTATTGGTTTTACAATGATGTGTGTTCTTTTTATATTTTTTTTTGTGTCTGTCATCACGTTTTAGGACAGTAAAAGTGCTTGGATTTTCTTCATCAGTAGCTTTTCTGATAGGAAAGTGAATCTAGTTGGTACTTTGGGGGGTCAAAAGTATAAATTTCCCAGTAGTTTTCACAAGCGCCGGGAAAAACAACATAAAAATTAAGGAAAAACGGGAATTTTTACGTAAAATTGGTTTTCCAAAAAATCGATTTTGGTTATTGGTGTAACTCTAAAACAAATTAACGTATATACATGAAATTTTCAATGGTTGTTTATACTTGCATTTTCTATACACGATAACATTTTCAAAATATTTTGATTTATTTTGAACTGTTTAGAGACATTTTCATTTTCCATTTTTTTTTAGTTTTTTTTCTAAAAATATCAATAACATTTTATTTGTTGGTTGCGAAAGCTTGGAAATTTAATACAAGGCTCCTAATATATTGTTTCAAAGGCAGATGAAAAATATTAAAAATCCTTAGTCACAATTTTTTTTTATAAGCATTTAAAGTTCAAAAATTGACAAAATATGGAAAAATCACGAAAATTAGCAAATTATTTTGAGTTAAGAATTCGTAAAAATTTTTCTTTTTAAATCTAAGATTTGAAAATAAAACACAAGATTCCTTATAAGATTATCTACCTTTATCAATAAAAAAATCTCTACCGGACAGTCAAATTAAATTTTTATGAGCGTTTGAAATTCAAATTTTTACAACATTGGATTTTCACTCGATTACTCATGTAGCGATTTCCTTATTTTGTTGCAATTCAAAAACGAACAACTGTAGATACATGAAAATTTCACTGAATGTTTAAATTAGCATTTTCTATACACCATACAATTTTGAAAATATTTTGACTCTTTTTGAGCTGTTTATGGACATTTACAGCTTTCAATTTTTTTTAGTTTTTTTTTTCTATAAATATCAATTAAGTTTTATCTGTTGGGCCAAAAAGTGTAAAAATTTAATACAAGTCTCCTGATATATTGTTAAAATATCAGTTGAAAAATATTAAAAATACATAGGCACAATTTTTTTTTATAAGCATTTAAACATCGAATTTTGACAGAATTTTTCGAAATCTCGAAAATTATCAATCATTGTAATTAATAAATTATAAAATGTTCAGTTTTTATAGCTAAGGATTACAAATTCAACACAAAGGTTCTCATAAATAGTTCATACTATAACCAAAAAATCTAAAAAATATATGAACACACTTATTTTTTACAGACATTTTAAATTCAAATTTGGATGAAATTACATATTAAAAAACCTAGAATAACTATTTTAGTTATTTTGTTGTGATTGAATAATATTATTCGTGGGAACTTGAAACTTCTAAAGTGTACTATTATATATCTATGATAGTATCATGGTTTTTGTTGATGTATAACGCGTTATAAGTATCTAATGGATATTTTGATATGATTAATTTGGAATTTATTATAGGTACCTATTATAGGTCAATTTTTTGTTTAATACCATAGATATGTATATAATATGTCTTATACATAGACTGACATACCGTCACCGCTCAGAATCGTTTTTCTTATTCAATGATATTATATCATTGAATTCAAATTTAATACCATCCATTATACAGTGACCCACTTGTAACCTACTGTACAGCAGAGCGACACCCACTTGCCCACCTTTTTTTATATTGCATTTCTCTCATATGACGCTATCGCATACATCACATCCGCCTATTCTACATGATTGCAAAGTCGTGCTAATCTATTGTGGTATTATTTTGAATATCGTTCCTCCTTGAGCCTTACATTTATTAATCGCAAAATTTGTTTACGCGTTCGTTTTGGGCGTTATACTCCCCATGGTTTCTTTGATTAAGTACGACCAAAACGGTTAACTAGTTTCTGTTTGATATATCTGTCCATTACCTATCTACAGTATATTATGGCTAATAATATGTTACCTGTCGGGACTTTAAATGTTGCGTAGTAACTCGCTTACTACATCTTCCCCTTTAAAAGTTCATTTTTATCGTCTAAACGAGAAAAATTAACTCAATTTAACTTTCTGTTAATTTCTGTTACTTCAAGCACCTTCCTATAGATAAATTTTACATACATCAATTATTACATTTTATGTTTAGGTACATAATATGTTTGTTTACAATTATATGATTTAGATACATTATTGTTTACATATTATGTTTGGTTACAATTGTATAATTTAGATACATTATTATGTACAAAAATATAAAGTACAATATTATTATCAAAAATATGAAGTACAATCCACAGTATATTTTTTTATTATTATATATGTTTACAACATTGATATTTCAGTACTGTTAAGTTATTACAATATAAATTCAATTATTATTTATGTTAGTATTCTCTATGTTTAACAATTATTTATTTTATTTTTTTTCACAATCATAATCTTATCTTAGTGTTAGTCTTTTGACATAATATTAATTTTTAATCCTATTACAGTATATTTTTTATCATGCAATATATATATTATATTATTATGTATTTTTCCAACACCATGTTAATAATACAAATTATAGTTCCTTTATTCATTACGTTTATCTTTTATTATTATTATAAAATTTTATACCAAAATTTTTCTTTTTTTTTTCATTTTTTCTTTCTGCCTATAATATATATATTTCCCATAATTTATCCTTATCTAAACATGTTCTTCATAATTATAATTTGTTTTTATCTATTTTACTACAGTTGTAGGCCAGCAATAAACTATTCAATCAAAGTTGTATTTTTGGTCCAGTCCAGCATTAAAATGATTTTATTCTACTGTAACGCTGCATTTGTTTTGCATCTTGTTAATTGGAATCCCTAGCGTTCATTGTTCTATTTAATCAAAGTACCAATTTACGCTAATGACCAAATTAACAAGATTTTATTCATATAATATTTTTGATTACATGACCCAATACTATACTCCGCGTGCATTAATTTTCAGATCAGCCTATCGCTGTCTATTTATTCTCAATAATTACTATACACCATAAAAAAACCTCAGATCAGTCCCTGCTGTCTATTACAAAAATCTCAGATCGTTCCCTGCCGTCTATTATAAAAAAACTTAGATCAGTCCCTGCTGTCTATATTACAAAAAATTCTTAGATCCGTCTACCGCTGTCTATTACAAAAAATTCCTATTTTCCCTAACAAGCTTGTTTTATTTCCTTTTTATTTATCCAAATATTACACCTTCACCAATAATATTTAAAAAAAATAAAGCTGGTTTAAAAACCAACGTGAGACGTGCACTCAAAGCTACAATTCTATTTGCAATATATTTATCTTCAACTTAATTAATTAACTCACATTACTGTTGCACCTACTGCTGGATTCAACCTGTCTTTGTCTGCTTGCCTGTCTTTTGAAATTCTGTTCTTTGCCTCCGGAATTGTCAAAGGTGATCGGTCCTTGACTGTGACTCGGTTGAGCTGCCTCTGTGGAGTTGTGACGTTGAATCAAGCCGCTGCGCCGGAACTGGACTTCCGAAGTTGAATTCTGCCACCTTGACTGCTTGGCTCGCCTTTAGAAGTTGAATTTCACCGCCTTGACTGCTCAGTTCTCCTTTAACTCCTTTGAAGTTCCTTTTTCGACTGCACCAGTGTAATATACTGGTAGTTCAGATGACTACTTGTATATTAACGTTGCAGGTAGCTAGACCGTTTCGTGATGACAATGAGGTAGCAGTTGAACAATTTTAACACAATTGTAAATTATACTGTGGTTTATTGAATGTTCCAGTAAATCATAAATGGTGCTAAGTCCAAATAACAATCGCTACACAGAGTCTCGTGAAGGTGCTTGCAGTATCAATGAGTGGATACGTCTGAATACAGGCTGTTTCGGGGTCCCTCTTATAGTCCGGTCCCCGCTCCCCTTGCCTAGTGATATCGTATCTCGGTTCTCACGGATGTGGTCCTTGTGGCTATCGATAACCCAGCCACACACTTTGCGAAATTCCTAATATATTCTGCGTATTACTATAATGAGTATAATGTACTGATAGTTAATTTATTAGCTACCAGTTTTATTATATTAAATCATTATATTTTTTATATTGAATAACGCTATCGCGAATATCACATCCGCCCATTCTATATGATTGCAAAATTCTGTTGTGGTATTATTTTTGAATATCGTTTCCCTCTGGGCCAATAATGGATTAATTGTAATTTTGTTTATCCTTTCGATTACTAAGCTTCCCATGGGTTGTTTGATTATTTTGTATTAAAAATTAAAATATAATCAAAGGTTAACTAGCGAATTTCTATTTGTAATATTTATTGCTATTACCTATCTACAATTCCCTATACTAAATATGTTACCTGTTGGGACTTAAAATGTTACGTAGTAACTAGCTTACTACATTATTATTATTATTATTATTCACGTTATAAAATACGTGGACGTCGCACAGTGGTTCAAAATGAAAATAGTTGGCCAAAATTCGATATTTTGAATTTGAAAATACTCAAATAAAGATAGCAGAAATATTTTTCTGTAATAACCAAAGTAAATAATTATGCAAAACGAATTGCAAAATAATATTAGTAATACCAATAAAATAATAATTTAAGTGGACAAAATATAGTTTTTTTCAAAATTATTATGATATTTTGTCACTAATCGTCATATAGTTTAATTTTCGACAACAAATAAAATAAAATAACTTTAAAGTATTTTATCAATTTATATTTATTGGATAAGATAATAATATAGTATTTATTATTTGATGACTCAATTATGAAATAATGACTGTTATGTGGCAATTGAAATGAACAATGTCATAAATAATACGATATAAAAATATTCACTTAAAAACATACAAATCTGTATATACATACAAATCTGTTTTTCATCAAGTTACACAGCGATATATACACCATCATTTAGACCACGATCTACTGATAACAAAACTATCATTATTAATTGCTCGTATTTGCGCGTTTCGTTTTAGTGAGCACTTGAAGTTGGACAGGCTTATTTATAAGCAATATTTGATTAAATTACATTTATGCAGTTTTTTTATATTATAATGGCTTTAATTCCTCAAATTACCTCAAATTTAAGTAAAATGCGCTTTGTAAGAAGTGTTTCTCTTTCCAAAAAAAAAAAAAAAAAACTCTCGAAATCGGTTTCTTTACGTGGATTGACAGTTTTTTCTGTAAAAAAAGGTTTTTGAGAAAAAAATAGGTAGCGTGGAGGCCCGTTAAGTCGGTATACGAATACGAATTATTTTTATAATAATTATTCTGTAAGTAACAGATCGTTTTATAAGATTTCTGTGAAAATTAGAATTTTGGCCAACTATTTTCATTTTTGAACCACTGTTCAATGTACGTCGGTCGTCGAAATATGTTTGGAAACATAGCGCACGCGTGTTTTTGTTGAAATATAGTGTTCAACTCTGGTGTTCCGCGATCTTCGTGCAATTCGACGCCCATTCGCTCGTTTTGTTGCTGACGACGTCGTCGTCGTTGTTGTCGTCGTTTTTTTGTTTGTCCGCCGTCATGTGATATACACATAAAACTGATTTTTTAACGGTTTCTAGCTGTTTGACCGTGTCGTCGAACCGCTGAAATATTTCATCGACACATACCGACGACGAGTGATGATACAATTGCATCTACAAAAATTTAATAACACACGTTAAATATAATATAATAATATTATTTATTATGTATATGAACCGTAGTATTGAAATAACGAATACAAATTCTACATGACATGAGCTTACCGTTGGAATTATTTTCTTGTACCTCATGCGTACTTTGACTTCGTTTATCCGAAGACTGCGACGACGTCGACGGCTTTTGGTTACTCGGATCTACAATGGGAAAAAAAAAATTGAATGTAAAAAAAATCACGACGACATTGTTGTATTATTAATCGTATTATTATTATTATTATTTTGTTATTTCTATTATTTCTATTATTATTATATTCTTATATATAAAATATATAACGAGACGCACGAGAAGATCGTACGGTACGCCGTCGGTCGGGCCGCGTGGACGGTGCGTCGGGCCGACCGGTGACCGACCGACCTCGGCGAGCACCGTGCGATTTATTTCCACCGCGGTCGTCGCCGCGTTGTTATAGTCGCGGACGGTGTCGCAGTGCGGTGAAAAAAAAAATAATAATAATAACGACGACGATCATCAGTAGATTCTAGGAAATATTATTATATTATTACATTCCTACGACTTGGTATTAGTATTGTTTTTTTTTTTACTAAACAATAAACCACGACGTCGAATAATATGTTAAGCCGGGTACACACTTGTAACATTTGCGCGTAACATCCTTTGATGCGGCCAAATTTACCGACAACTGGTGGAACGGTGTTACGGCGTTACGGCTTAACAGAAAATGTTACAAGTGTGTACGTGGCTTGATAAGAATGTTCAACGTAGAATAATAATAATTAAAAATAATAATAAGAATGATAATAATAATAACGTAGGAGAAAAAAAAATTAAAACAGGCGGACGTCGACGAGAACGACGCACGATAAGATCGCATGCTACGCGCCGACGTCGGCGCGTCGTCGGTCGTGCCGCGTGTACGGTGCGTCGGGCCGACCGGTGACCGACCGACGGCGTACCGACCTCGGCGAGCACCGTGCGATTTATTTCCACCGCCGTCGTCGCCTCGCCGTTAGTCACGGACGGTGTCGCAGTGCGGTGAAAAAAAAAATAATAATAATAACGACGACGATCATCAGTAGATTCTAGGAAATATTATTATATTATTACATTCCTACGACTTGGTATTATTATTTTTTTTTTTTTTACTAAACAATAAACCACGACGTCGGATATAATATGTTATAAGAATTTATGTTTTCTTATCGTAAGCATGTGGAAAAAAGTAACGATACACATCATATTAATAAAAAGTTATATAATTTGAAATTCTTTACGAAATAATCAGAGTGACCACCTCGTGTGCCGTGTGGTGTTGCTTGTCATTATTATATTCGTTTATAGAATACGTGACATAAATGGGAAATTACCAAGATTCGAATTTTCGACAAGAATACAATTTAAATGCGATAAAATTACACGAACGGTACAAAAATGCGAAAATGCATATTTGACGCACAGAGTGGTAAATTAATTAAAATGGATCAGAGAAAATTGGATTCGATTTTAACAGACCCGGATTTTTATTATCACGGTACAAGTAATTTTTAGTTTATTATGCTAAATCAATTAAAGCGTTTTACAAAAACGTTTCGTGCTATACAAAAACTTTTTTCAACACCGTATTCAACGGAATACATCGAGTTCAAAACGTGCAACTGCGTTTGTTGATAATCGAATCGTTTCATTACGACGACGAAGACGATGACGACAAAGTCGATGTTCGATCAAAACGATTGCGATGCTTTAATAAATCAGTTAAAGCGTTTTACAAAAACAGTTCGTGCTATACAAAAACTTTTTTCAACACCGTATTCAACAGAATACATTGAGTTCAAAACGTTCAAATAACAATAAATTTAGTGATCTGTAAGTCTATAGCTTTTGATTTTGTGAGAGGAATTGATTTACTTATATACTGTGTGATGGCACTTTGTTTAGGTAGATTTGATGCTGATGGCCCTGCTGCTTCAGAAACTACTCTCGACGAACCTGTACTTACAGAGGCACTTGTAGACGCTGACACGTCGGGGTCCATTGGGTCAATTCAATGTTGTCATCATTTACTAGCAGTGGTCTTTTAAGTAGCACAGTTACATGTTTAGTTTTTAGATGGCGCATAAGGTTACTCGTTGACCCACCACTATAACTAACACCTTCCTTACAATAAGAACATTTAGCAATAGTAAGGGACTCAATACTAAAATGATTCCATACTGCACTTCTCTTGTGGTTTAAATTTGGCATCCATAATTTTTTTTATATTATATAATTGTTTTAATTTGTACACATTTTAAAAATTAACAAAATTTGTGAGTTATGACTTATAGTATCAAAATATATATGTTTAAATTTTATGGAGTTTTTTAGTTATTACTACCCTTATAACAATTACTAGAATTATAAATTATTGAATGGCACTTCCAACTTAATTTAAATTATATGTACCTATATAAATTATTAAAATAATTGTTTATTATTTTTTGATAAAAATGTACATAAAACATATTTAAAGATTTTAAATGATAAATTTGAAAATATGATATATAAAACTTAAGTCACAAATCCAAAGAATATGAAATTTTAAAAATCTTACCTTGATAAATTTATAACTTTGAGTTTAAAATTATTAAAAACAGTAACACCAACGCCACAAAATGTTGAAAAATATAAAAACGTTTTTTATTCAAATTTTTATGAGTTAAATGAAAAAATAACGCTTGATTAGTCTAATTCTTAATAAAAAATAATTAGTAGGACTCTCCTGGAAGGCTGAAAAACCAATGCCAAGTTGTGCAAATAATTGTTTTATAATTTATTACAATTGCCAAGTATAGACAAAAATAATCATGTCATGAACTGGTCTATCACAGGTTCAAACATGTTAATTTGTTGTAATAATTATGGAAAATTATTGTGTTTGGTCTGAAGAGGATGTTGAGAGTAAAGGACTAAAGGAAATGTCTTGTACCTTTTTGAGTATACATACATTTATTATTATTTATGGAACAATATAACAAATTAATTTTTCCACAAACTCAATTTTTTTTTTTAAATATGAGTACATATAACCACTTATTAAACTCGAAGTATAGGATATTTTTGAAATAATTACAATAAATTAATTTTATAATATTGCTTATTGAAGAAACTACAAGTTTTTTTTTAAAACACAAATAATTTAGTTAATATTATGTTTGTAATGTGGAACAGTAATGTTTATAGAACATTTTGTAGATTTTTTTTTGTCGTAGCGCTTCGTCCAGCACCGCTGTCCACAGCTTTGACCGTAGCGTCGTCGTCGTCGTCGTCTGATAGTAGTTCGTCAATCGTAATCCATTTGTTCATGTCTCCGCATTGTTCGTTCAACAACAAACGAAGCTCGTCCGTTAAACGGTTTTCGTTAACAGATCGTTCGTCATCGAAATCGCTATCTCTAAAATCAGCTTCGTCATCGTCGTCATCTTCCGCATACACGCATTCCCTTTGTTTTTTCAATGTATTCATGTCATCGTCGATTCCATTCACGTCGTCGTCCTCATCGTATTGATCATCGCTAGAATCGAAACGATATTCCGAATCAACTTCGTCGTCGTCATCATCGTCATTGGTCAGTGTACGATCATTTTCTTCTCGATACAATGCCTCACATCTGTAAAAAAAATTATTAATATAAATAATAATATATTATTATATACGATATCAAATATATTTGATATATTAAACATTAATATTTTTTTTACCTAAACTCGTCGATACTCGTTTCTTTGTCATTCATTATCGATACGTGACCGTCCAAACCTCTCGCAAAAGCCACGCTCCAAACGAACGGCGTGCCGACTATTCCGACATATCTGTATACCACCGGAAAGATCGCGTAGTCGATACGATTCAAACACCAATCGAAAAACGAACGGTATACGCTATCGTCGAAACCATAGATATCGGTCGGTCGACGTATAACGTTGAAGGTATCTGAAGATACCATAGTCCTTGCCAACACCTGTATCGTCGACAAAACCGACGTTTTTAGTTCTTTCACATGTTCCACTGCGAGCGATCGACAGTAGCTAACGTGATACTGTTCATTGTTTTTTGGATTACATTGATGTTTGAAAAACAATAGCATATCGCCGGCCGTAATCAGTCTATCGGATTTTTGGCCTCTCAACAATCCGGCGTGTATCAGAAACCGCGCCATCAAAAACATGTGATAATACGCGAAATTATCTAAAGAGACGAGAAATCGGTTATCGGCGTACGTCGGTCGTCGAAATATGTCTGGAAACATATGGCACGCGTGTTTTGGTTGAAATACAGTGTTGAACTCTGGTACCAAACCTTCGTGCAACGCGAGCGCCCATTCGCTCGTTTTCTTGCTGACGACGCCGACGGCTTCGTCGTTGTCGTGATTTAGTTTATCAGCCGTCCCGCGAAATACATCATACAAAACGGATTTCATAACGGTTTCTAGCCGTTTGACATTGTCGTCGAATCGCTGAAATAGTTCATCTACGCATGCCGACGACGAATGATGGTACAATTTTAATTCCTCAAAAAATACACCCAACATACGAATCGTTCTCGGTGACAGACCCGATGCAATTATTAACGTAATGCTGCTTTTGACGAACGCTATACTTTTTGCGGACACATGATTTTTTTGATATAAGAAATTAGCATGTTCTTGCAAAAGCCTACAAAATTTTTCGAAATATATAACGCATTTTTCGTCTTTGTCCTTAAGGATAATCCGATAAACGTCGGCAAATATATGAAACAGCAATTGTTTCTGAGCGCTTCTATTGACGAGTTCATTGTACGTCAACAAGTCAACGGTCTCCATAGTCCAATAAGTGTACATGAGTACTTCCAACTCGCCTTCAATGAAATCGAATTCCGGTTGTTTTCGTTTTTGTTTTTGTCGATTTTTCGCATTGCCAGTACCCTTGTACTTTCGTCTTATCGCAAAATCGCTCTTTCCGGAATCGTTTTTCAACAGACGCCGGACGATGGTTAGCATGGTCAAAACATATGTGGAAGGGATCATGCCGTATCGCAACGGGTATCGCAATAGATCGCCGCGTTGATTACTCGCCTTGTGCACAGTGTCCCAAGTCTTGTCGCCGTAATTCGTATACTGCAAGAGCGTGTCGCCCAATGTCGATCTGACAAAACGAATCGGAACGCCGTTGTTTTCCGATTGGAACGGCTTTAAAACTTCGTACAACGAACACATACCGTCAGGCGTATCTATTGTTTTGTACACATCGAGGTCGTAGAATTTGTAATACGTCCCGAGTTGAAAAGCTTTGATATGTTGCATATACGATAACGTTCGGCTGCGCACGGGTAATTGCGGATGGCGATCCATTAAATCTTTTAGGTGACGTTCATTGTTAAAGTATCTGTCGGATTCTTTAAACATTTGTTCCAATTTATTCAGCGGTATTGTATACAACGACGACGGCATATTTCCGTCATCCGCGTTAAAATCTATATCCACGACATACGTACATTGATTGATCGTATAATTATCGTCTATAGAACATATTGGTGCGATAACTAATTGTGAATATGCTCCGTTGATATGGACATCGTCGTCGTTGTTGTTCGAACGACGACGCTTCGTCGTCATGCCGCTGCGTAATCTTGTCAGCATAGTTGGAGGAGAAAACGAACCGGATGTCGAAGCGCGCTCAACCACAATCGGTGATGATATACTTTCAAGTTGTTCTCTTCTTTCTCCGTCGTCGTCGTCGTCGTCGTCGTTGTCGTCGTCGTTGTTGTCGTCGTCGTCGTCGTCTGTCATTGAAAAATGAAAAATTTTAAAGTTATCATCGTTAAGCGAGTAAAATTAATAAATATTATAAAAATACCCAATTTCAATGACGCCGTTGTCGTATCAACACGACGTCGTTTACGATGACGACTATATTTTGATTCGTTATCTGTAGTCTGGACACACGATCGTGGAGTCTCATCAAATGGTACTGCTACGTACTTTTCGACGATTTTCTTGGATTTTTTACGGACAACTACAATAATTTAATAACACACGTCAACTATAATCATATTATTATTTATTATGTATACTGAACCGTAGTATTCTCATGACGAATAATAATTCGACATTACTCGAGCTTACCGTTGGCGTTATTTTCTTGTACCACATGCGTATTTCGACTAAGTTTATCCGAAGACAGCGATGACGTCGACGACTTTTGGTTACACGGATCTACAATAGGGCAAAAAAATTTAATGTAAAAACAATCACGACGACATAGTTGTGTTCTTCTTATTATTTTATCATTTCTTTATTATTATAATTAGATAATAGTTTATATCCTATATAAAATATAGAACGAGACTCATGAGAAGATCGTGTACGGTATACGCCATCGGTCGAGCCATGAGGACGGTGCGTCGAACCGACAGATGACCGACCGCAGTACGCAATTTATTTCCACAGCCGTCAGACGATGTCGCAGTACGGTGAAAAAAAAAACCATGTGTGTTACCAGTACGCGCGCGGGAACTTCTTTTGAATGGTACACGTGAGTGAGTGAAAAAGAAAGAAAAAAATATTAATTAATTTAAAAAATGAGTAGAAGTATCCGGAATTATTCATTATTGATAGTTTTATTATTTTTTTTTATATTTTTATTCGACAGATCGATGGATAATTGTTTGTAGTATTGTTTTTATCCAGACAATAGATTTGTGAGTGAATAATAATAATAATAATAAAAATAAATAATAATCGATCATTAATTATTCATATTAATTAGTATGGCCCGATTATAATCTTTATATATAAAAATGGAGACAAACAATTTGAAATAGCATCAGTTGAGAACGGCTGGGCCGATTTTGCTCAAATTTTTTTTAAATGATAGAGAATGTCGGTGAGCGGGTTTATAGCATAAATTATGGACTTAATTCTTGTTAGTTAGAGATTTAGAGACAAAAACTTAGTTACACCGGTGGCGCCCTCTAGCGGATAAAAATATAAATATAAATATAATATAAATAATAATAAAAATCGAAAAAAAAATATATTTTTATATTCTGGTTGATATACATTTTTTATTATAGACACTTATAAGTTATAACTTTAGAGTAAACAAATATAATAGTTGGCACATTATTCATTTTACTTTGAAACATTATCGTTTTATGTTTTCTATGAACTTTTTCAATCAAAAACGACTATTGTTTTTTGGAGAGAATTTTTATGCTTGAAT